AGTAGAGCTCCAGTATTGCAGGGGCAAGGACAAGACGTTACAGAGTACGGCCTGGGAGCTTGCTGACCACCTGCACTTGTGTTCACGTGAATAAGTGAGTAGGCAGATGGTGCAAGGGGAAGGAAAGCATAGCAGTACTTGAGAGTGCAGGCTTGAGGCCGAGATGCTTCTGGTTTGGCCGTAAGCAAATTCAGACCAGCTGCTTTACCTTCTTGAGCCTGAGCTACTCTCTTCTTCTGTTTCCCCATTCTCTTCAGTATAAGAAAGCTGGTACCAACGTGCATTTGTGAAGTGCTTTGCACACGCCTTCCATAAGGCTTAAGTAAATGCAATATTGATATTTCTGTCCATTCTGAAGGCAAGTGGTATTAGAGCATTTATGGTCAAAACTGAATTTCGCACACTTTGCAGTATCTTAATGGAAGAGACACAAATCACAGCTCAGCTCTACGAAGGCTTTTATGTCTCACAGTGTGGCACCTACTAGCTTTCTTTCCAGGAAAGAGCTCGGAAGCTATTTTTGTTCTTTCTTTTTCTCCAAGATGTCCCTGACTTTAAATGAATGCACCAGTTTGGTGAAATTTTCCTGTCTAGGGAAAAATGTTTCCCCGACTATCTGTGCCTGTCCCAGCTAGCTAGATCCACAGATCTGCCCAGACACTTTGAGGAAACGTGCTTAAACTCATGCTGACGTGAAAGTTTCATTGCTGGCAACTCCTCTAGCTCAGTTCTGGCCAAACATACCTACTTAAATATAGAGCAGTCACAAGAGCTGTGGGTTGCTCAACCCTGCAAAAACCAAGAACCTGAAATAAACTGCAACAGGAGAGAACTCAGAAGTGAATCAGCTTGCTAGTACATTAAGATCTCAGCATGAATTTAATAGAGGGAAAGCAAATCCGACTGTCTAATTCCTTGGTCAGGAACAAGGAAACCTAGGGAGAAGGAAAGACAGAGCTAGAAGCTGCTGCCCATAATGGTATCTGCTCTTGGAGCGCTGAGATGGGGCATGATCCAGAGGTCACCATCACACCGAGGTGGTGCAGAGCACCAGGTACTTGCAGGTACTGGGGAGCCCATGTAACCAGCGAGATTCCCAGGAACAGCAGGAGCCAGCAGAGCCAACTCCTACAGCATCTTTCTCTTGTTCCCAGCAGAGGCATGACTGGTCCATCCTTTGAACTGCACAGGGTGTTTCTGAAACCCTTTCTCCCAGAGGCTAAGCCGGGGTCAGGCCAGCTGAACTGAGCAATCAGGTAGCTACAAAAGGAGCCTTCCTTGTTCCACCTCCGTCCATCTCTTCATCAGCAACATCATATGTTTCTCTGGTCAAACCATCAAACCAGGAAGTTCAAGGCCCACAGACCCAAACCATGTCATCGCCAGGCCAGTGAATCGCGGAGAGTTAAGGTACTAGCAGAGTCCAGCGTGTCCTCCAGCTGCTGTGCAAAAGGGAAAAGAGTTTGCAGCACATCCATACCAGAGAGCTGACAGATCTGCTCACACAGAAAGTGAGAGGAAGAAAATTCAGTGTCTGTTGCTGTAGGGTGACCCTAGATACCTTGCTCCATTGTCTACCCATGAGCCTGGCACAGGAATTGGCCTGAAAAAGAGCCAAGACCCTGCTGTGCATCAGCTGCAATTCTGGTGGATTTTTCCAAAGGAGAAGACACTATAAAATCAGTCTTACCTAGGCCCACAACTAGCTGCTTTTAGGGGGAGTGGAAATTCCCTCCCATCAGCACAGACCTGCAAATGTATTTCTGCATTTTGGGCTGGGGAGCAAGGAGAGCCTAACGGCATCTTGAAGACAAACGTTACTCTCTGTCAGAGGCTGGAGCCCAGCTGCTGAACACAGAGGCCAACACTTCATTCGGCAGGCAAGACGCGTGGCACGCTCCTGCAAGTCGGTGTGCTGTGCGTGGAGCTGCAAAGCCGATGAAATTTGGCTGTGCAACTGAACATGCCCTTGGTGTTTGGATCTGGCTTTTTGCCACCCAATTTCAACACTGAAGCATGTGCCCCTGCAGGAGCAGAGCTGCTCGGCCACGGCGGGTCGGGGTGGCTCCCTCCACGGCAATGCCTGTCCCTCGCCAGCTCCCGAGCAGCCTTGGCCTACCACGCTCCCAACATCAGCACTGCAGTTAAGGGCCAGAAGTACACGCAGGGCTTTGTCGCTTGGATCATGTCCCAAACGAGAGGTCATTTGATTCAATAAACTCTCCCCAGGAAGTTTAAATGTGCCAAGGCTGAGACTTCATTTGAGCTAGTTTCTTCTTCCCTGGAGCATATTTTTCTGATGACTGACAGCACTGAGGGGCCTCCTGCTGCAGAGCTGCAGCTCTCTGGTACCCATGTCCAGCTCTGTCAGTGCCGGGGTCTCCCGGTTCCTCCTGCCTGTTCCTTTCGGCCCAGGGTTGCTCACATACGGCAGCCAGGGGCAGAGAGCAGCAGCCCACCGACGGGCTCCCTCTCTGCAGCACACTCTTGTTAGCAGCC